TAAGTAATATTTCATACATAATGTTTATTATGTACTGAAGTGTGTATGGAAACAAACAAGAATGTGAGACAATTACTTGAAAGAAGAAATCAAAGGATGGGGTAGATGCTCAAAGAACGTGATCCGCGAGTGGTGGAGGAGAATTTTAATTTATTTATGAGGAGATGCAACCCTATGCCAGATTAGGGTAAGCTTGGAAAAAAAAATTATAATTCTGAAAATAGGTTATTTTTGTTCATCAATCCCATAAAAACCTGTCATTCTGTCTTGTTTATCATTCACGCCATTCTTCCTACCTTTTAGTAATCTAGACAATAAATGTAAAGGATGGGCTGAAGATGCTTAATCTAATTAATTTAAAAAAAAAAAAAAAAAAAAAAAAAAAAAAAATACAGGAAAAAAAAAAATTTAGTTTCCACATCTTTCTTAGTACAACCTTACAATACCACGATCACGCAAAATGTCATTCTTGTGTCATCACATGATCCTTGTGAACGTTCCCCACAACTTCCCGCTATTTTCATTCTAATCAGCATTTAGCAGGTAAACCTGTTACATTGCTTGTTTATTAAAATTTTGGTTTGGATTGTATAAAAGAAGATTCGCTAGTCTATTTAAGGAATGACTTACCCCAGAAGCACATTGTGTACAAAGGAACGAACGGATTATGATTTTCATAAGTTTATCTAAACAGCTAACAAGATTGGTGTGTCCTTTTTTTTTTTTTTGTTTTCTCCTTTCCCTTCTCTATTTTAATCCAAAATAATTCCGAATATAAATAAAGGTACAATTAGTATACATGGTTCATTATTCGGTCATCAAAAAAAGACCAAGAAAATTTGATTTTTTTTTTTTTTCCTCAGAAAAATCACTTCCAGATAAAGAAATACAAGCAAAGCCTCAAACTCGAGTATTTCTCCAAGCTGATAGATTTACAACCAAAGTGGACATCGCACGTTTTTTTCAGTTCGGTCTAATTTCTTTTAGCCATTTATCCTTTTTTATTATAAGCTGCTAACCTTGTATAGAACATTTGTTAAATGTTTAAGCCTTGACAAAATAATCAAGAGATAAAATCTTTTTTAAAGTGTTACAAAATAAGAATGTTGGTTCAAAGATACAATTTTAAATTCATACTAATCATCACAGGAAAAAAAGACTTTCATTAATTTAAAAAAAAAAAGTAAAATAAAATAAAATAAATAAATAAATAAATAAAATAAAAAAAGTAAAATTCAATTAATATGAGAGATTATTTTTTTTTTTTTTGACTCTGGAATGTTGACTCGGTTCCTTTTTTTTTTATTTTTTTAATTTCATGTACGATATGGAATGTCCTAAAATTAAAAAATTATTATTTTCTCAGTGCTATAAATATCAAAAAAAAAACTTTTTTTTTTTTTTTTGTTTGTTTTAAAATTCTTGGTATAATTGGTTGGTGGGAATAAATGGGAACACATGACTATTTTAAAAAGTTGACACAGAAATTAAATATTCACATGTAACCAAAACAAATATTTCTTGCAATGTCAAAGGTCAAAATAAAAAATAAAAAATAAACTAGTGAGTAATTTACACTAAATTAATTTCCAATTTATTATTTTATCTTATTTTATTTTTTTTTTTTTAAAAAAAAAATACTCTTTTGTTTCATTCTGATTATGTTGATTGTCATAGGTTCGAGGATGACAGCTTTATCGATTCTAAACCACGATGTTAAACCTTTTGATGATTCTTCTAATGTATTTCTGCGAATCCTTCAAATGTCATGCGGCGCAGTATCGAAGAGATCGGACACGTTTCCATTACTTCTGTCGACTGTGCTTTTCGTGTCACATTTCTCATCCTTTCCAAACGGAAAATCAAATAGATTATCATCAAAGCGGTTAAATTCATCGCTCGATGATTCAGATAAGAAAGATTCAAAATTAGATTGTGAGAAAGGATGAAGGAATTCCGCGTTACGTTTGGATTCGTCCAATGGTTGTTCGATCACAATCTCCGCCATTTTCCCGCGCTTCAGACGTTTTTGTTGTTGTAACAATTCCTCGTTTTTATTGTTATGAATGGTTATGTCACCTTTTGGATTTCCCTTTTGCTTTTCGGATTGTCCATTTTTGATGTCATTTTGTTTCATAAATATGATCGTTAATTCTTTTGATAACTCATCGTACAAGTATCCTATTTCGGCTCGATCTCCCTGAACGTAATGAAATCCTTGCCCCTTGAGATTTTCAATACAAATTGTAATTAACTTTGAAATTAAAATTGCCCCATGAAATAAATCTTGTTCAGGATCCTGTGTGGCTTTATTTATCAAATGTTTCACATGATCTCTCATATCTTGTAAACGTGCCGGTGCGATCACTTGAGAACGAGACAGGATGATTTTATTAAAGTTCATTTTTATTTTTCATTATTTTTATACATCGGGGGGGGGGGAGGAAAAAAAAAAATCTCTCAATTATTCAAAATAAGTGAAGCTATTTATAAATGAAAACGATTCGTTTTTTTTTTTTTTTTTTTTTTTTTTAAAAAAAAAGTTTAATCTGATGTGTCATACATGACTAACGTGATTTTTTTTTTCCTTTTTCATATTACTGATTTAATAAGGATTGTTTGTTTTGATGATAAATTATTTACCGTTTAAATAATTAAATAAAATTTATATGTTGATTTCACATAAATTGAGATCCAAGCCAAATTATGATAATTAATGCTGATAAAATTAATATCGATATTATTGAGTTAATGTACGAGAAGGTCATTATCGGATATACGATCTTCTTTCTTATTGGTTTCAACAGGCATAACTTGTTGTAACCACTCTTTGATCGATTCCTTGCCAGCTTTAACCGCTTCCGACATATTTCTTTTGAGGTGAGTTGATACTCTGGTAACGTGACGATCCATAGTATCGAGTTGTTGGTTAATTGCCTTACCTGCATCTCGCATAAACTCATCATAAACCATGCTTAAAAGTGCCAAACGTTTAAATTTATATTTGGCCATTATTCGCTTCTCTAGAATGTCATTCGGATAGGTCACTTTTGCATCGTCAATATAAATCCCTTCGTTGATTAATCGTTCGATAAGCGCTTTGAAATGAAGTTGTGCTGGCTTGTAATGTCCACTGTTTGGGTTAATTTCAAGAAGTTTACCTTCTCGGACTTTAATCCCTCCAGCAGCGCAAATAGCACCTCCAGCAAGAAACGAAGAATGATGAAAATGACCCTTGATCTTTTGTCCTACATAGAAATTCCCATCACAATCCGTGACATAAATCCATTTCTCATGTTTCATCCCAGTACTTCCAGTACTTCCTTGTCGTGTATGTGGAGTAATCTGTTCTTCAGGATCTTCTATTTCAAGGTTCAAGCTTCCCTGAGAGCTAGGTGCAGGAGACGGTATACGAGCTGGATTGGGTATAGACAATGATCGTGTACCAACTGCTATATTTGGATTAGCTGAATCAGGGTCATTTGGCAATTGGTCCGTTGGATTAGTGTGCACCGGTTTTCCGCTTTTTTCGTAGATGAGCATCCCATCCCTAAATGTCACTTCAAATTCTTTACGTTCCTTTCTTGTGAGATATCTTACTTTTTGATGATCCAATAATTCACGTGGTCTAGCTTCCAAATTCAGGTGTTTGCCTTCACCTTTATCTAACCATTCAAAAAAATTTTCTGGAGTTGACGTTTTGAGCCAATAGTCATGATAAACCTGAAAAACGACAATTATAAAGTTAATGATTTTTTTTTTTTTTTTTTTTAATAAAGAAAAAAATTTAAAAACGAAAAATATGCGAACCTTTAGATTTGATCCATATCGATGCTCTTCATCACATATTTCTAACCAATGTTCTGTGTCCAGAATGAGCCAAAGATGATTCTTGACAGAACTAGACCCCTATGAAAATTTCACGAGAATCAAAAGAAAGATCATAGATATTGAATAATCTTCACAATCAAAAATAAATATATATATATATATAACCATATTGTTGATCAGCGCTAAATAATAAAAAAAAAAAGATTTTGGTCAAGTACTTTTGCAATGCGTTCTACCACGGTCATGGCGAGTTCGAATTTTTGGTTGGAACTAGGGGGTTCCTGAAGTATTTCTTTACGACGTAAATGTGCTTCTACGGCGTTGAGTAGTTCCTCCCATTGGGACCACACGGGACAAGTCTGGCCAGGTAAATGAAGGCACGACGTACCGCTTTTGAGAATATTGTCTCTCGAGTTGGCAGACAGGATCTTACCTTCTTCCTCCCGTGTTTTACTAAATTATCAAAACATATACGATATTTGTGAACTAGTTTTGGCTTTTGAAATCGTCAATTTGCACATTAATACTTGAACAACCTGAAATGGTTATAATTACCGGTGATTCCGCCAGGCATTAGCTATTTTTGTTGCTGAAAATTCTTCACTTTCTTTGTATGCTATTTGTTGTTGTTGAGAAGTAGTTTCCATTTTGGCTGGAACATCAAGGTTAGGTCTGTTTTCGGGTGGTAGAATCGACTCCATGATTTATTTAGAATTTTCGTTACTCGTGAAGATAAATAAAACAAACGCCCTAATGAAACAAATACATTCATTGATAAGCTTAAAATTCTGTTTGCATTAATGCAATGCAAATAAGATTTTATTGACTTGATTGGTTAATCCGGTATCCCGTGAGTATACAATATATACAATCAAACCTCTACCGGAAATGAAGAAGCATGCATGAAAGAAAAATATTTTAATATTTCTAAAATGTATGTGAGCAATGAACCAAACGATTAACGTCATCATGAGATGACGTCTCCTAAAATTTATGGACGACAATATGATTTGATTGGTTGGACACATTCTATGAAACCAAATAACTTTTTTTAGATTCTTCTCGTTAGTTAGTTTGTATTTTTTTCATTCGAGATCAGGAGGCTTGCCGGTGGTCCAACTTATATCGTTGTACTTGTAGAATATTGCAAATCGACTAAAGTTTCAAAAATGAGCGGACTTACCGCTTCACTAAACACCGAACTCTTGCAGCTTTCAAATGAAGCTCGTAGGAAACACCCAGAAATCAAGGAGGTAATTTTACCACACTCCGACCTTTATGGTTTTTCATTATCTGCTGAATTTACTGCGGATCATTGGTGCTATTTGGAATAATTGTTTAATATTTTCGTTATTCATGAATGTAGGCAGCAGAGAGATCCCTTATAATTTTAAGAAGACTACTCAAAGAGCTACCCGAGACGGATAATATATCACAAGGTTTATTAGAATTTCTCTGTCGATTTCGTGATATGTAATACATTACATTAATATACTTTTTTTGTTCTTGTTCGGTTATAAAAGAACTTGCAAAAAACAATGATTTTCTGCGTCCGTTTATCCTCGCATGTGAGACTAAACACGTCAAATTAATCACAACCTCTATAGGTTGCTTACAAAGACTGATATCGCACCATGCGATTCCAGATGTAAGTTCGTGTTATATCAGCATTTTATTCATACAATACCTTAGTGTTAAAGTGTTACATTTATTAGCCTTCCGTGAAAACCATTCTTAAAACCTTAAACGACATTATGTCACAAGGTGTGGAAATTCAACTTAAAATTCTTCAAACCGTACCGCCGTTATTAAGTAATTACCAGGCTTTACATGGGGATTTGTTGGCAGAGGTAATAATCAATGTAAAAATAAATAAATAAATATATATTATGAATTTATATTTATAAAATAATAATACATTATTTTTACAATTGTAGGCGTTGTTGATTTGTTTCCGGCTTCATGATTCAAAGATTGTAGTGGTAAATAATACAGCTGCCGCAACTTTACGTCAGTTAGTAATTAATATATTTGAAAAGGTTCAAGAGGAGGATGACATCAATAATAAAGATGGTATTTTTATTAAAGAAATTTTAAATATAAATTGATTACATTCATTCTTATTAAAATAGATTTTTTCTTGTAAGGTTCAATAAAACCTACATCTACTGCAGTATCAATTCATGGGGAAGGCGTAATTGCGCTTCGTCCTTGTGCAAGGGACGCATATTATCTTTTTCAAGATATGTGTTTATTAACTAATGGTGAAAATCCCGTGTATCTTAGGTTACATGTTTTATCAAGAACATTCGGATTAGAATTAATTGAATCAGTATTAACAAATCATTCTAGATTATTTAAACCGGTTCGTGTGATTGTTTAGTATTTATGGCATTAATTAAATTTCGGTCGAATTGTTGTTTATTTATTTATTTATTTGATTTGATTTTACTTTACAGCATCCAGAGTTTTGTTCTTTGTTGCGAGAACGAGTGTGTCCATTAATTATTAAAAATTTCTCAGATAAATTTGACTTCCCTACTACCATGAGATTAATGAGATTGGTTTACATTATATTGAAACAGTTCAATGAAATTCTGGTAAAAAATTTTTTAATTATTCATATCTTAGGTCTACTTTTTCCTGATGTTTTTGGAGAGAGAGAGTAATTGAATTTTATTGTTGAATTATGCTTTTAAGAGTTATCGTTACTCTTTTATTATATTCCGGTGAAAACCCGCGAAAATAGGTGATGGAATGCGAAATTTTCTTGAATATGTTTATCAAAATTCTCGAGCCCGATAATCCATTGTGGCAACGTGTTATATCCATGGAAATATTTCGTGGTATATGCGTTGATCAAGCACTTTTACGTTCTATTTATCGTTCGTATGATAAACAAGGTCATTCAACGAATGTATTTCGTGAAATGATTAACGCCTTTGGAAAGTTAGCAGCCGAAAAACCACAATTATTGGGTGTCGGAAGCCATTCGTTAGCTGGACATTTACATCAAGGGAGAGAAAGCCTAGAAATGGCTGGTGTGATGGGAGGTGCTGGACAAGTTGACATACCTGGATTAACCATCTCAACTTCAATAATGAAGGTTCAATGGTATGCATACTTACTTTATCGTATCAAATTTTTTTTTTTTGAGAATAAAAATTTGGGTATAAAAGTAATATCATTTTAAAAATTTTTAAATTCGTTCTTTTTAAAAGCTTCGATCAATTAGATAAAGTTGATCCACCACCAATTCCAGATACATACCTATATTATCTTGCTCTCTTTTGTCTTAATTCAGTAGCTGATGGCTTACACAGTTTTGTTTTGAATATTTTGTCGGAAGTCATTCATAAACAAAAGGTTGAAAATCTCAACTCTCCTCCTCAATCCCCTACACATGTACAATCCGCAATTCTCGGTACCACCACGTTGCAGCAATTGGAATCGCACCCACATTATAAAGACATTCTGCTTGTTACCGATATGGCCAATACTGCCTGGCCAGGATTGCTTGCTGCGCAATCCTTTTTCCTCACAGCTAACCTTGATGAGGAATTGTTCCAAGGAGTTTTACGAGCTTATCAGAACTTTACGATTGTATGTGGCGTACTTCAATTGACCACTCCCCGTGATGCTTTTTTGACAAGCTTATGTAAAGGAGCTGTTCCGCCCAGCGTAATTGCTGCATCTTTGGCAGAAAGTAAAGCAGCTCATAGTGGTAGTTCAAGTACTACAGGAGGCGAAGGCATGCAAGTTGTTACATTGTCAGATGGGAATTTATCTTGTTTGAAAATATTATTGAATATAGCACAATACCTTGGAGGAGTTTTGGGTGATTCTTGGTATCTGATTTTGGAAACTCTTCAATTAGCGGATTTCATACTTTTTCTTAAACATGCTAGAGGTTCGAGAAATCCACGTAGAATAGGTTCGCAACATGCTGCATCTAATTCTGTAACTTCATTGCCTACCTCACAAACTGCCGGAAGTTCATCATCAATTCAACAAATATCTTCCAATCCACCAAGCTTAAAAAGAACTTATTCATCTAATACAACAAATCATCAAGCGAATTTACCCGGGTCTACATCACCTCAACAATCAGCGATTGATAATGATTTAAACATTTTGTTAATACAGATTAGAAAATTGTTTGATAATTGTAAATATCTTGACGATAATGCTTTACAGGCTTTTACTATAGCATTGTGCAAGTTAAACGCTTATACCATTGGTATTCCATTGGACAGTGAAAATTTAGTAGCGGCGCATGATCATTTATCGATGGAGGGTAAGGTAACCAAATCAACGCCGCTAAATGCTATGAGAGTAAATGTAAGATAACACTTTTTTTTTTTTTTCCTCCTCTCGATCTCTGTGAATAATCATGTTCCAATGGTTTACCTGTCTCTTTCTTTCGTATGTAGAGACCAGATGAAAAGTCCTTTGCTATCAACAAACTTCAATTAGTTGCATTAATTAACATGCCTAGGTTGATAGCACGTGAGCCTTCTCTATTATGGGATCTGATAATATCTCATCTTATTAAAACTGCGAATTACGTATCTACTCCACAACCAATTCGCATGCAGGCTTGTGAGACAATAGCAGACATTGTTACTCAAGCAATGGGCTATGCAAGCTCTGATCATATGGAAATTGATGAACGGGTACAAATGCAATTGCTCACTTCTTTGAGTCAATTAGTAAATAATTCCGAAAAAAGTACTCAAGAAATAGGTAAAGGATTTCATGTTGAAGTCCGAAAAATGGGACTTGAGACGTTAAATAAATTATTACAAACATCGGGCCATTCATTTACATATGGTTGGAGCATGATATTTGATATGATAAGAAGCGTATGTGTTATATCGTTTCCTAATGAATCTGGTGAAGATGAAGTGGATGTATCGAGTGTTGATAGTTCAAACGTTATTGACACGCCATCTTTTGGCGTTTCAAACACAAAAACTTCTGGTTTAGTCCGTGTAGCATTTCCTTGTTTGCAGCTTATCTGTTCGGACTTCTTGTCCTTATTATCGCCCGAGTGTTTGAAACAATGTATCAATACGTTGGGCGCATTTGGTTTACAAATGGATGATCTGAATATTAGTTTGACTGCGATTGGTTTATTATGGAACGTCTCAGATTTTATACAAACAGAATTAGAAAAGAATTTTAAAACTTTTGTTGAAGAAGGGCCAGAAAATATTAAAGAAGATATTACTGTGGAACAAGAAATCGATCAAATTATTCAAAGTGATTTGAAACCTCAAGCAATGAACGCTCTATGGATGCTGTTATTATTACAACTTTCAAAGATTTGCTCAGATACTAGGCCTGAAGTGAGAAATGGAGCAAATCAAACTTTATTCCGTACAATTGATATGAATGGCGCTGTATTGAAAACCCAAACTTGGCACACTTGCATTTGGAAGGTTCTATTTCCTTTATTAGATTCTGTGAAATTTGCTTCAGAAAGGGCAGTTAAAGCAATGCAACAACAGCAACTCAATTCAAGTGCCGAAAAACTTTCTTCCCCACAGAAAGAAATCAATGTCTTTATGATACATCACTCTAGAAATACTATTGATAAACAGTGGGATGAAACAAAAGTTTTAGTGTTAACTGGAATTTCGGACATATTCAAAAATTTTGTTCATTTGCTGATTAAACTGGAAAATTTTGAGCAAGCGTGGGGATTATTGTTGTCGCATTTGCAAGATTCTTGTTTAAACTCGAGTCATGAAGTTGCCATCGCTGCGATCAAATCTTTAAATGCAATAATTCAATTTCCTAATGATGACGTTCATACAGAAGAGCTGAAAGAAAAGGTTTTACCATTATGGCAAACTGCTTGGATTATCTGGGAAAGAATTGGACTGGGTATGATTACAATGTCTGATTCAATTCTTCGTGATCATTTAGAGAGTCCCTCTCCAGCTGAAATAACAAGTATCGGACAAACACAATTTACTCAAGACACTTTAACTGCTTACGTTGTAACTTTTGGTGATCTTTATCATATTATCCACTCCAAATTTCAAATAGATGAAATAAAAAGATTACTCAAAGTAATTAAAGGAATATTGACATATTCCCATAGTCCTTCTTATAGGCCAGACTATGACTATCTTACTCCATTACAAGAAGCCGTATTAGATATCGTTTCTAGAATTGACTTATGTGTTTCTGGTGCCCCTGCTGTAGTTTTGTGTGAATTTGCAGATTATATAAATTTAGCTTTTACAAAAAAACAACGAGACGAAGAGGCCATTAAGAAGCAAAAATATAAGGATAATTACATTGGCTTGATTCACCAGCAAAAATCTATTAGCGGCACAACTTCAACAAAAGGAGAAAATAGTGGCGTTGTCATGTCTAATAATAAATCATATTCGACAGTTACTTATATTGTCTTTTCTAAAACCTCCATGCGTAAAGTAGAGGAAATGTTTAAAAAATTTGTAAATGATCAAGGAGTGTATTCTGAAGGGGTTTTCGCAAGGATCATAAAGGTAATGTACCAATACTCAATCATATTACTATGAAAATAATTTTTTTTAATCTTTTTTTTCTTACTTCAACGGCGGAAAAAAAAAAAAAAAAAAAAAAAAAAAAAATAGTCATACGGAGTTCCTATGAAGTTGAAATATGATTGCCCTCCATCAGGAAAACACGTAGAAGATATCGAACTTTGGAAAATTGCAACAACAGCTTTCCTAGAGATTGTAAAAGACGGGTTGATTGCACTTGAGAACTTTGGTGATGGTAAGTAAGTTAAGTCAGTCTTTATCTGATATTAGGGTTTAATTTTGTCTCACGTGAATTAAAACGTTTATACATGCGTAGCGATATCAGATGGATGTATCGTCGACATATGGAAACAATTGACGAAAGTTCTTCATGGTGCACTTATTTCTAACAGGTAAACATATTTATTGATGTAATTATCCGCGAATATTTGAAAATTGTTGTGGCTTATGTTCAATCTTTTTATTTATCAGTAAACCTCCAACATCTATTAAGATCGATCAACAAGATATTGATGAAGCTTTTGATATGAAATTTTTATTCCGATTACAGTCAGACGTAATGATTCATATGGGTCGCCCTCGTGTGCCACAAAGCCTTATAAGGGACTTGATAAAAACTATTCAAGAAGGATCACAACTGTACTTATCTGATGTGGAAAGACAGGGAGCTATGAATGGTTATTTAAATAAACCTTTACCCGTACCCGTATCAAATGGTACATCATTTCATCAAAAAAAATCTAAACCTCGTGAGAAATTATCTGAAAAGGTGGAAGGTGTAACTGCAAAGATCGTACCTGTAGCTAAGGAACGATTTGCATATGCTTGTTTACAGTGTTTGTTTGATCTATGTTCTGAAGATCAAACTGGTGACGAAGAAATAAAGCAGAGAATAGCAGAAGTTGCCGCTCCTATTTTATTGGAGCGATGTGCTTCTGTAATTCGCAATTATACAGCAGATCAACCTTTACTCGGGAAAGTACCGTTTCCAAGGTTAGTTCAGTCATATATTTGGTGGCGCTGTATAATCGAACACGTAAGAGGGTGAATTGGTTAATAAAATAATACACGATTTACAAACATTAGCCTTTCTTCCAGGGTACGAAATGATGAAATCTTATTAATTCTGCAGCAATTAGTAAAGTTGAAATTTCGCCAGAACATATTACACGTCAGCGAAGAAGAAACAAAATCTAGTAAGTATTTTTATTAATTGGCAATCTTGTTATCGTTTGATGATCTAATAATGATGAATGGAAATCTTTATTAAATAATAGACCCATTGAAAAAACAAATTTTATCTGGATCTATTGCTCACTTATTTTATTTATATCCTGTTGTGTGTGAGGCAATTAACTTACCAGATGAGACTATTGGGGTTTTATTAAAGGAATGTTTAAGAAAAGTTGGCGAAGAATTGGGAGTTTGCTAAACATAACGATAATTTTTTTTAATTTTTTAATTTTTTAATTTATAATAATTTATTGGAAACATTTGACTAAATTTAATTATTATTTAGATTTCTTTATAAACAAAAAAAAAAAAATAAATAATCTTGATTTATAATATGCAGTTGATAATCATTTCCATATTCAGATATTTCTAGAAGCGTTTAATGTTGCATAGAATGTATCTCGTCTTGGCAGTTTTTTATGTCATTAAACGTCAATCCTTATCCGTCACGTTTGTTCTGAAATGGTTTCTGACGCACATACAAAGAAGAGAAATGAGAGACAGCAAAGTTCGTGTGATTCCCATCCAAAAAAATAAAAATGAAATCCGTCATCTGATCTAAACGAGTTACAGGCTGCGTCATACGACCGAAACAAATCACCCGTAAGATAAAAATATAGCATGGTATGAAATAAACCAATTCTGGTGAAAATCATCCTGGATATGTTACAAAATATGCTTAAATCTAACACGGGGAGTCATATGTCATGTGATTCAAATTAATTTAATGTATTTTGTATAAATTCGTTATAAAGACTCCCTTTTTGTGTATCCAATCGTTATATTTTTTTTTTGCAAGTAAAAACCAACCTTACATCTATAATAGAATTAGAAAACACACAACTTTGAAAAGACATAAAGAATGTCACCGCAACCCCCACAAGATCAGCCACCCGCTATTCGTATAGTACCTCATATAGAGGGCCCTCGTTCCCTGCATTTTGATATCATCGAGCGAGAAATCCCCGAAGGAGTCGTCATAAAAATTGGTCGTTTTACAGATAAAGCTCATGTTCCTAACAGAGTTACTTTTAAAAGTAAAGTTGTATCCAGGGGCCATGCAGAAATTTGGTGTGAAGGTGGAAAGGTATATAATAAGATTTTTTTCATTTATAGGTTAAGTAGAGCGTGGGTAAATGGGTAGCCTTTATAAGGGTAAAATATACTTCACAAAAGAAAATGGTACTTCCGGCAATTAAATTAATTAAATAGGAATTTAATTATGAATAGCTATTAAAATTGCTCAACAATGTTATTCGAATAAATTTTTTTTTATTAAAAAAAAAAATTTTTTTTTTTCCTTTTTAAATAAATGCACATGTATTTAGTTTTTCATTAGAGACACGAAATCTTCATCCGGCACATTCCTTAATCATAATAGATTGTCTGCTCCAGGCCTTGAAAGCAAAGCAATCCCGTTAAAAGATGGTGATGTTGTTCAGCTTGGAGTTGATTATCAAGGAGGAACAGAAGGTGAATTTATTTATAAGAATAAATTAAGGATCTTGAATGTTGCTTTAAATTTTAAAATTCTTCATATTTTTATTAGAAATTTATCGATGTGTAAAGATGCGCATAGAATTAAATCGTTCATGGCAAAGACAAGTTAACCCATTCAAGTAAGCTTTCTCTTTTTTTAAAATCGTTAATATTTATCATTAATTTTTTAATTAATTTTTTTTCTTTTTAAAAAAAAAAATTATTACATTATTATGCGAAATAACTTGTAATACTTTAAGTCTAAATGCTTTGAAACAATTCAAACAATTGACTAGTCCAGACGGGTTCAAACCAACTACAGATTGTTGTATTTGCTTATGTGGTATTGGCCCCTGCCAAGCATTATTCCTTGCACCTTGCTCTCATGTGTTCCATTATAAGTGTATACGACCACTTTTAGTTAATTATCATCCGGGCTTTTTATGTCCTCTCTGTCGAAGTTTTGCAGATTTAGATGCACCTATTGATAACCCAGTTGATTGGAAACAATTGCTTGCTGAACAAGAGGAAGCTGAGAAAAAACAAAACGAGGAAGCTTTAAAAAGTGAAACGAATGAACAAAGTACCCAGGAACAAATTACTGAAATAAATCACAATAATATTCCTTCGACTTCACAACTAACAAATACAGTAGAAAGCTTAAACACAAATAAGGACGAAAAGATACAATTAAGTAGCCATCTTATGTCACAAGAAGAAATTAATAAGTTTGGTCGATCCTCCGTTTCGACGACACCTGCTCCATCATCATCATATTTTCCGGTTCCCATACCTCCAAGAAACCGAAAAACATCAAATTCTTCAGATGAAGGTGATGATCCCAATTCAATGCTAAGCCGCACATTACCGTCAAGCCCTCCATCAGTTCAAATTATGCCTTTTCTCGATGAAAGTATTGATAATGGCTCATCAGCACAATCAAGTCATCAATTATTAAGAGAACAAGCTGGATCACCTAGACTTGGTGAAATTGCCGAAGAGGATGAAGGCACGATGAGCTCATCTTCAAACCCTTCTGGTCAAAGTCAAAATCATGGAACGCACGATTCTAGTTCTTCGGCAAGTTCGAGTGATAATGATGACGATGGTGTGCCAATAGGATTATTAAGATCAAACGTGAATGGTCACAACGAGGATGATATCAGTAATGGATATGTTGAATTATCATCAAATGAACAGGCGGCAAGTTCGCGAGTAAAAGGAAAAGGAGTTGATCGGTTAGGAATTGATGAGAATGAGAGGGAAAATGTTTCATGAAGGAGTGATATTCATGGAATAAAATTATTATTATTATTATTTGGACTTTTAATTACATGCGACTTATTGTTTTTCAAACCGGTTTGAATGCTGAATCACAAAATATCGACATTTTAACAATTTAATTTTATGTATTGTTGTTTGCTATAAGAATACTATCTATCTCCTTTTTGACTAGCACTAGATTTTATTTTTTTTTTTCATAAGATGGGGGTTTATGTATGTTAAATTTTGTTGTATAATGAATGCATTTATTATTATTATTTTTATTATTTTTTTTTTTTCCTTTTTTTTTTTTTATAAAAAAAAATAACTTTTTTTAAATTATATATATATTTATGATTCACATTAATCTCTAAAAAAAAAAAAAAAAACTAACAAAAATCGGAATTAGGTTTTAGTTTCCTTTCCCTTTTTTTTGTAATAATATATAAATATGTATTTATTTTTTAAAAAAAAAAAAAAAATTTGAAATTTAATGGCGAAAACTACAGGTGATTTTAAATGAAATCTTTATGATTTTAAACAAATTATTCATTCATTTTTAGCAAACGCAGATTTTGTATTGAATCAATCTGCTAGTTTATCATTATCATTTCTTTGATTAAACATTATTATTTTATAGATTAATATATTATTTGATAGACAATCTTTTGAGGTGTAAATATAATTGATAAAATTATGATTCGAAAAATTTATTGCATGATAAGGTTTTTATAAAATGATGTAATATTTTGTAAATCTTTCAAAACTTTTTTAGATTAATAGTATATTTTGGAAGATCTAATACTGATTCGGTTTCAAGCTAATTACTTTTTTTTAAGGGTTTCTATATATCAAAATATACTTTTCCTATTTTTTTTTTTTTTAATATATATATGCAGTAAATATATAAAACGTACTCATTTTTATTTTTATAAATAAATAATATTAAACAATAAAATTATTTTATTTTTCATTATTATATACTTTAATTTAAATAGATTAAAATTAAATTAAATAATTTAATTCTTTATTTATAAGTTAATTTAATAAATTAATTTAATTATTAAATTAAGTTTTAAATATTTATATAAAATTAATTAATATTATATATATAATAAAAATTATATTATAAAAAAAATATTAATTTTGATTTTAAAAATTATAAACTAAAAAATAAATTTTTTAAATTTTTTATAAATAAAATTTATATTACTGATTTACATAAAAAATATATTTATATTAAGAATTTTATAATATAATTATATTTATAATTTTCATTTAACAATTTCTATTTATATATAGATATATTGTATATGAATCACGTAACATGATTAGCATTAACATTAATTTTATTAATATTAAAAAATTAAGAAATTAACCATATGACAAATAGAGTAAAACAAATAATAATTTTTACTAAAAAAATTCTAAATTCTTGAAAAAAATAATAAAACTAAAAATGAAGATGAATGATATTAGTAACAAATATATTTGTTATATAATTCAGATATATACACCTCATATAATCTTCTTTTTATTTTATTATAACAAATTTTTATTATATTATTTTATAAAATATTAATAATAAAAATTTAAAATTTATTATTTTAATAAAATATTATAATTTATATTATATTATATAGATTTATTTTCTTTCTGATAAATATTTAATTATAATAATTAAATATTTTAATTATTATTAAATTTAATATAATATTCATGATTTAATAATCAATTATAAATTATATTCTATTTAAGCTCAATTATTAGCTAATTTAGAATTGTTAGTCTGGTGTTTTAGAAAAAAACTTAAATTAGTTAGTAGTGTAATTAATGCAAAAGCAAGTTTAATCTTCCATTTATATTTCAAATATTTTTATTATAAAAAATCTAATTTATTTAATATATTATTAATATTTAATAAAATATAATAATAGCTGATTATGACTAAATAATATAATTATATTATTTAGTCATAATCAGCTTAGATTAAGTTATTTAGTAATAAAATAACTTAAATATAACTAAATAAACTAAATATAACTAAATAACTTATATATAACTAAATAATTTAAATGTTACTAAATAATCTAAGTATAACTAAATAATCTAAGGATAACTAAATAATTTAAATATAACCAAATAATCTAAAATTAATAACTTAAATATAATTAAATAATCTAATTAAATAACTTAAGTGTAACATTTTTATATTATCTTATTTTTTCCTACTATATTCCTTGCTTTTGAAATCACTTTTCTTTAACTTTTTTCTTATTTATTATTTATGATCATGTGATTAAATAACCTAAATATGACTATGACCAAATAATCTAAATGTGCTTATTTTTATTAAGTGTTATGCATTGATAAATATCTTCTTTTATAATTTATGCTGGTATAGTTCTATAGTTGATTGGTCGCTAAGTTTTATGTTAGAGATATAAGTTATCTATATCTGTTTGGATTCTAAATTCTATACCAAAGTTTTTGCCTTTCTGTACTCCTTTAGTTTTCTGTTAAGGTATTAAGGATATTTCCCTTCTTTACCTATTTTATTGCTTGCCAAAATGCTAAAATATCAAAATGTGATAAAAAAATACTGAGTTAGATAACGTAATAATTGTTTGCCAGTTCTAATTCACTTTTATGCTAACTTGAATACCAAAATATTACCCAAAGTTCTGGTTGAAATTATGGAATAATGCTGGTCAAAATTAATTGAAATTTACTATACATAATTTTTTTTCTAAAATGGATATCACAAGTAAATAATTATATTGTTAGAAGTGTCATATATTAGTGATCTTAAAGAGAGAATTGACATCCCTGGCTTATGTTATAAAATATGAATCCTATTGTAGGTTATACTGCAATAGATCTTAGTTCAATACCTACTAAGTATAAATTGCAGTATTAATTTACTGCAGAATTTATTAGTTCAATTCTGGGAATGAATTTCATAGAATATGCACAAACTATGTGCATTAAAGATCATGAACTTGTAGAATATAGTGAACCTATGTGGTTATACAAGTGATCACATTACATAGAACTGATTGAGTTCAGAACTTATATTAGAGGGTTAGCTTATAATAAGCAAGTATCGTATCATCTGCAAGTGGGTCATTCCTGATAACAGGATATAACGAGTTAATGGTAGATGTCATATAACTTGGATTAAACAAAAGTCGTGAGTTATAGGTGGCTTCTAGTTAAAACGCTGAAGTATCTATGAGTCAATTAGAGTTTGAGAGGCCTGAGTTCAATTCTCAAGGTGATTTTGACAGTCTGAGCATATCAACTGTATTAGACAGCTATTCTAAATTAGATTAGTAAAGTCTCCTTTTTTCAGTAATTAGCCAGAATCCTTCATACTAATAATATCAGAGGTTAGTCATGCAGCATCCAAGATATATAGCTTATCGCGAAGGCTAGTGTTTCAACAGTTTAGACTGACTTGAAATATAACAAAAAAGGGCTTGTTTCTGGATACAATGACATATCAGACATATGAGTTGCAGTCAGGATATTTAGGTGACTGATTGCTAGAATCAAAGTAAAAAAAATGTGTTTCTAGAGGGTTCAGTGACAGATGATTCTTTACGTATATATTATTAAGAAAATTATATGATAGCAAGTCCAAAGAGCTTAGTATCAGATGATATTTAATAAAAATATATATAATGACAGGTAATTTACTGCGTCTTGAGTTCTGGATATTTTCTGTGATAACCATCACTTTCTTGTAACTTTTTCATAATTTTTGAGAGATCACGTTCAGATTATTTGACTATTGAGATGTAACTGAAATTTCTGAAACATTATATTTCAGAAAATTTAAGCCAATTTTTAGGTACATAATTTGAGAGATCAAAGCTGGTGTCATGGTAAATTTCTTATAATATATTATACACTTAGTTACTCTAAGTGTTCATATGTATACTAGTAATAGGGTAGGTAAATACCAATATTTATATAATAGATTATGTACTTACCTATTCTAGATGATATACCCAGATACATACTAGTGATAAGGTAGTCTTCTTCTATAATTTTATATAATATTTTCAAAGAAGACTACCCTAAATATCACCTATTAGAAATATATACCAGTCAAAATATGATAATTAGACATAAATTCAGTTAAGTCAAATATGAGTCTAATAGTATTCTAATATGCATCAAATTGAAGTTTATAGTTCTGACACAATTAGATAGCCAATAGTCGTATATTCAGACAGATTA